ACCCCCATGTTTATTGCTGCTTTATTTACAATTGGAAAAACATGGAAGCAGCCCAAATGCCCAAAAGTAGATGACTGGATTAGAAAGATGTGGTACATATATACAATGGAATATTACTCAGCAACCAAAAAAGAGAAACACATGTCTTTTGCAGCAACATGGATGGAGCTGGAAAAGAGCATGCTGAGTGAGATAAGCCAGAAAAGAAAAGGGAAAATACCGGATGGTGTCACTCATAGCAGGAATATAACAGACCAGGAAGAAAATAATGATAACAATGAACAGCCACATACCAGAGACATTTTGTGGGGGTGGAGTAGGGAATAGGATCAGAAACAGTAGGGGGAGGGAAATGCACTGGACTATGGTGATGGCACATGGGAAGCCCAAGGGGATTACAATTGAGATGGAAAAATGCACAAAATGATGTAAAAATAAACTATTATAATAAAAAATTAAAATATATATATATTGGTGCATTAATGACACAGTTGAACCTTGAAAACATGATGCCAAGTGAAACAAGTCCGATAAATGGTCACATTATGTGATTATATGTGCAGGAGACATCCAGAATTGGCACATCCATAGAAATAGCGAAATGATTTGTGGTTGACAGGCACTTGGGGGAGAGGGGAATGGAGGTGAGTGCTTAATGAAGACAGAGTTTAAGAATTGTTTAAGAAAGAGGGTGGTCCCATGTTTATTCTGCTTTATTTACAATTGGAAAGACATGGAAATAGCCCAAATGCCCAAAAATGGATGACTCGATTAAAAAAATGTAGTCCACATACACAATGGAATATAACTCAGGAATCAAAAAAGATAAACTCAGGCCTTTGGCAGCAACATGGATGGAGCTGGAAGGGATCGTGCTGAGTGGGATGAGCCAGAGGAAAAGGAACAACACTGGATGGTTTCACTCATAGCAGGAGCATAAAGGACCGGGGGGGAAATAATAACGAACAGCTATATACCAGGGTTGGAGTGGGGATTGGGATCAAAAATGGGGATGGGGGAGTGCACTGGACCATGGTGAGGGCACACGGGTGATTTGGTGACGGGAAGCCCACGGGGATGACAACTGAGATGGAAAAAAAGGCACAAAACAATGTAAAAATAAACATATTTTTAAAAAAGTCCAAATACCAGGAGAGAACAGGATGCAAACACTATAGTTCCATTATTCAAGAGCAGTGTGCAGACCAAGGCTGTCTCCCCTCAGTGCCCCCTTGGGACTGGGCACCCTGAGCCCTCCCGGGCACCACTCCTCGGCCTGTAGAATTTCCAGAGTTACTCTCCACTACATGAGCAAAGAAGGATCTCCAGAGAGAACACACGGCAGCCCAGGCGCCGTCAGACGTATGAACCTGCGGCTTCCTCCCGCACCCTAGCGTCAGCCTAGCTGCGCCCAGCAACCAGCTGCTCCGTGGGAGCTGAGCGAGGTGCCGAAGGCGGGCACAGGCAGCCTGGGGAAGCAGGTCAAAACCACAGCGAGACGCCCTCTCGCAGCTCCCAGAAAGCACGTTCTAAAGACAACGAGCTGGAGAGGACGTGGAGAGAGGGGGCTGCTACACGGCTGGGAGGCCTAAGGAGTACTGGCTCGGACCCCGGGACGACAGCTGCCGCCTGCACAGCGGAGGGGCGCGGGAGCACGCAGCCATGCTCACGAGGACGCAAGGGAGGCACGTGAGAGAGCAGACAGCCGAGGCTCTGAGGACGGGGAGAGGGCCGGAGGGTCGGATGGCGGAAAGGGCATCTGACCCTGCGCGGGCGCACACGGTGTGGCCACGGGAGACTGCCGCCCACACGGCCGCGACGTCCCTTCCAGGCCTCACCGCGGGCCTGCCCACCTGCATGGCCTCTGTGACCCCTGCCCCGGTGTCCCCATCCACAGACCACCACTGCCCTCCCAGAGAAGGGCCCAGCCTGGACAGAAGGTCCTGCTCACGTGTGTGAACAGACCAGCTGCCAGGAGGAAGCAGAACCAGGTCACCCTCAGCTGGACCACAGAGGCTCCCCGGGGCCAGGGCTGAGAGCCCCAAGACGGTGCCTGCCCGCCTCCTGGCACCAGCCTGCTGCACACGGGCGCCACTTTTGCAATAAAGGGGGCTCGGGAAGGCTGGGCTGGAGGACCTGAGGGCGGCTGGTGGGACTCAGTGATGCAGACAGCCAGCACGCTGACCTTCACGGCCCGTTGAGCAGGGGCCGCCTGGCCGGCAGCTTCTTCGCCATCTGTGTTGCACAGGTGCACACAGGCACGTGGCACCCTGCCCTGGAGGCAGTGACCACCACGTGGTGACCGCTCCTGCATAGGGCCGGGGAGCTCACGCGCCCTGTGCCAACAAGCCTGCACAGAGACGGAAGCTCCAAAAGGGAAGATCCCAGAAGGCAGTGGAAGTGCAGCCAGGAGCGAACTGACTCAGCCTCAGGCCAGGCTGCGGCACTCACACAAGCTCTGCCCTGTCACCTGGCCATGTCCAGGTGTGGGGCCACGCTACTCCCGCCTGCTGGCCAAGATCCCAGGCGCCAGCCACGCAGCTCATGCACCCAGCGACGCTCCAGCCCAGCCCTGGCCACTTGCAGACACTGCCCGCGAGCCGGGGCCCGGCCACCTTGCGCATGGCACCTGAGCCAGGCACCAAGTGGCCGCTTCGCACTCACTGTCCACGTCAAGCACAAAGCCACAGCGCACATCCTGGGCAGCCTGGCCTCGCCCCTGCTGGCGCGTCACTGGCCAAGTCCTCTCGCCCACAGCAGGCCCAGCTCCCCGCACCCCAGTTCAGTCCAGAGCAGCGCCTGACCTCAGCCTGACAGAAGGGCGCCGGTGGAGCTCGGTGGAGGACAGAAAGTCTTTCCAGCTGTAGCACTTACGGGCCTGGTTTTCTTGGCCACTTGGGGGAAAGTTTTACATTTACTCGAAGTCAAGCAAAACTAGACCCTGTGCAGATAAGGATAGGGAGATGCTTGGTAAAAAGCGGAAGGACTGTTCCAGACGGGGTTCCCTTGGGAGGTGACCAGCGGGCTGCCAGAATGTGCAGCCTCACAAATGGGATGGGGAGTGGGGTCACTGAATAAGCAATGGCAAAATTCAAAAACAGGTGTGCTTGGAACCTCCCACTTATCAAGGACTAGACAATCAAAAAGGAGCTAAGTCCCCCTAGGCTGCAGGGGGCTATGCTGGCAGCCTGGAAGCCTGTCTCCCACCCCCAACACCCCCACAGCGCTGGTCCCCTCCCCCAGGGCTGCAGGAGTGCAGAGAGACAGTGACAGGGGTGGGAGAGGAGCACGAGCTGGGTCTCGCAGGCCACGCAGGCCACGTGGACTCTGGCTGAGGGTCAGCGGCGTGAGGTCGCCGCCAGGCAGCTCAGGACAGGCGCAGAGAGCGCTCTGGGCAGCGGAACAGAGGAGGTGCTGGCCGCAAGCAAAGGGCCCTAAGGCTGGGGCAGGTGAGGAGTGAGCAGAGGTGGCTCAGGGCACTCCACAGACGGCTGCGCACGTGGTGTGTCAGCCATGGCCGGGCTCTCCCTCTCCTCAGCTCACCGACATGGAAACCTGCTTCTCCCCTCCCTGGCTCTCTCCTGCCCACAGGCCAGTGTGGGGAGATGAAAGCTGGCTGGTGGGGCCCAGGTCCAGCACGAGGCCTGGGGCCCTCACTGCTAGGAGACTCACCTGCCAACCCCTCCCTCCACCGGGAGGCCTGGGGGTGACAACGGTGAGCCTGGGAGCAAAGGGCGAGACCACAAAGGCTCACCTGGGGGAGGGGGGGCGCCAGCACACTCCCAAGCCCGGGCCTGGGGGCCCCTGTGGCCCCTGGGAGAGCTGCGAGGGCAACTACCCAAACACACCAGGCAAGGAGGAAGCACAAGTCCACGCCTCAGGATCAGGCAGTTGTTTCCAAGAACAAGGGCTCAGAAAGCTCGGGCTCCCTCTCCCCAAACCAGGGACGCCACACCGAGAGGACGCTCATCGCTCAGGTTTACCCTCCCCTGTGGAGACTGGCTGGTCTAGGCTGTCAGAGAGACATCAGGCTCTCAAGTGAGCTCTTTTCTGACATGAGGGGGACACATCACAAAGAGATCCCGACCTCCAGCCTAAGTCTTCTAGCAAGGTGGTTAGAAGCCAGATCCAGTGCGCCTCCCTGAGAACCAACTGTCACATCACAGCCACCCGACCTGCAAGAGCCGAGGATGCCGGGCACCGGCAAGCACTGGGTTCAGAGACACATCTGCTGCTGCTAAGATACTCCTCAAGTACTTGGGATAAAAAAGCAGGCAGATTATATGGGCACATGCTTCTTATAAATGCCTCTGTGTAGAAAAATTCTGAATGGATACAGCATACTTCAAAACTGTAAGCAGCAGCTATCTCTGGAAGTCAGATTTGCAATTTCTCTTCTTATGTATGTAATAAAGCAGGAAAAAGGAAGCTTTTCAAAACTCACACTGGTGAAGAACTGCACCAGAAGCTCCGAACATTCCAAACAAGAGTGCCCTGATCTGGGCACGGGGCACGTCACGTGGCAATCAATTCATCTTTCTGCCTCCCTCGAGTGCAACCTCCCACAAAACAGAGCACCCATCAGGCCTAGTCTGCTTGTGGTGACAGGAGGCTGAGTCAGTGGCGACACCGTAAGCAGAAGGCCTCCAGGTCACCCCAGAGGCAGATGCGGTGCAGAAGGCCGCCGTCCAGGGGACACCCAGGCGCCGAGCGCCGAGACGCGCCACAGGCAGAGCTCCAGCTCACCGGAACCCTGACATTCTCCTTGGCAATGCCTCTGACACCCACCGACAGATCTGCTGTGGCTGCGTTTAAAGTGTGTCCTCAGCCAAAGCAGCAGTAAGAGGGGAAGTCTAGAGCAATGCAGGTCCTTATAGGAAAACGAGAAATACCCAGAGAAACAACCTAATCTCTCAACTCAAGAACTGGTAAAAGAAGAACCAAAAAAATCCCCCAAAGCCAGTTAGGAGAAAACAATAAAAAGTAGAGCAGAAGTAAATGAAACAGATATCAAAATGATGGTCCCCCCCAAAAAAAAAAAAAAAATCAATGAGACCAAAAGCTTATTTAAAAAAAAAAAAAAAAAGACAAACCTCTAGCGAGACAGGAATCTGTGAATGTTTATATGCAAACAAGATCAACAACATGGATGAAATGGAAAGATTCTTAGAATTAAACAATCATCCAAGACTGAAGAGGGGGAGAAAAAGAAACCTGAATAAACTAAAGGAAACTGAAACAGCATTCAAAACTCTCCCAAAAAGCAAAACTCTGGGGCCTGCTGTCTTCACTAGCAAGTTCTACCAATCTTCAGAGGTGAACTAATGTCTATTACGCAAATGCAGAAAACTGAAAGAAGTGCTTCCAAACACATCTGTAAAACCTCAGTAAAATCTTAGCGACCTGAACACATCAGTGAATGAAAAGGATCAGACACCATGACCAAGGGGGATTTATTCCAGAGGCACAGGATATTTCAACATTAAAAAAAAAAAACTACACACTTCATCACATCAACCAAAGATAAAATATATATAATAGGTGCTGAGAAAACATTTGATAAAATTCAACATCCATTTAATAAAAACTCCAAAAGACAAGGGGTAAATGCAAGGTAGCTTCCGAGTTAATGCTGTCAGTGACAAAGCCACGCTAGCATCACTCTCGGTGAAAACTGAGAGCCGCTGCGCTCAGGCCGGTCCCAGACAGCGACATCCTCTCGCTCCACTACCGGGCAACACGGCGCCGGTGTAGCTACAGCAACGGGGAGCTAGAGAGAGCTGTAAGAGGAATCCAAACGGGGAAAGAAAGGACGCCTTCCTTACTCGCAGTGACATGAAAACGTACCTACGCAGCCTAGCCAGTCCACAGTCGAAGCAAACAATAAAGCAGCGCAGCAAGCTGGCAGGGGAGACGATCACCACAAGCCAGCCGCCTCCCTCTGCGCACACAGGAGCTAGAAGAAATAAGGCAGCCACTCGCAATCACACACACCAAACAAAGGGAGACACCCTGGGCGCGCATCTCAGAGGCGGAGGGCCGTGCCAGGAACTCTGGGAACCCAGAGACTGTTTCCGGTGCAGGAAACAGAGGAACCTGTGCAAAGGCATGAAGCTCGGCCACCTCGCACACCACACGCAAAACCAGCTCCAAAGGCAAAAGACGCGGTGTGAGAACTGCCACGTGGAGCACATGGAAGGAAGCCTCCGACATAAACCTCAGGGAGTCTAAAAAGTGTCTCCCCAGCAGCAACGAAAGCCAGAGAATATAAACAAAGACTGTAAGCAGCTGGGACTGCACCAAACTAAAATGCTTTTGCCCGGCGAGAAAAAGACTGAAATGCAGAGACACTCCACTGAGCGGGAGAAAATAAGAACACACCATCCATCTGGCGGGGGTGGCTTCAGGATCTATGAAGAACTCACACCGCTCTCAGAAAAGGGAGAAGACACGAGGCGCATCTCCTGAGACAGCACAGGGCCCAGAAACAGGAGCGAATGTGCATGGCTCCCTGCCAGGGAGAGGAAGCCACAGGCACAAGGAGGCCGGTGGGGATGGCCACAGCAAAGACCAGGGGCTAAGGTGCCGGCTGGCGAGGGCGTGGAGAGCTCCCCGCAGGCCTGGGAGAACAGCGGAGGTTTCACAAAAGACTAAAAATGGACCTATCACCTGACCCAGCAACTCCACTCCTGGGTACCTACCTAAAGAACCCCAAACGGGGGCCTCCCTGGTGGCCTAGGGGCTCTGTCTCAGCACTATCACCTCGAAGGGCTGAGCTCGAGGTGACCCACAGGGCACAGCAGACCTGTCCTGTCTCCGCACTGCCACCCTCAGCAGTGGATTCCAGTGGATCTCCCTGTTCTGCACCCCACTCTGTCTCTGGGGAATCCTCTCAACCCCTGCACCTCTGACCTACACCCCAGTTCTTCTACAAATAAATCTTTAAAAAAAAGGACGCCCCAAAAAATCTGAAAGGAAACCTGCTAGATGTTTAGAGCAGCACTATTCATAATACTGAAGCCACGGACACAACCTAAATACCCCCCAAAGATGACTGGCTCAAGAAGACGTAGTGTATACACAGTGTAATGCTGCTCAGAGAGCAAAAAAGACAAACTCACGACATTGGCAGCAAGCTGGGTGAAGCGGGATTACCCTAAGTGAGGTAAGCAAAAAGGAAAAGGATAAACACACAGTGGAGTCGCGTATGCGTGCAACAGAGAAATCAAAGGGCCGGCAAAGGCAACTGTAAATGCAGTCCTTGGGGAGGAGCACCGGGCTGCCGCAGAGGGCTCTGGTGCTTCCCTGGGCTGC